TCCATCCACATCGGGATATCTTCGCGCCTTACAACCGCGAAGACGAATTATTTCGGGCGGAAACCACGCGACCAGAAAGATCAAGGGAACGACGCGATACCCCCTTGATACCTCCTAAACAGTAGAGTTATTAGAAGAGAGTTATGAAGAAAGAAGTTGTTAGTTGTAATCGTGTTGTTAGTTGCTGTAGCGTCCTACGGTATCGAATCTCTTCGATTTCCAAGAATGCTTATCACGCGCCAAATTAATATTGCGTGACTAGTTGTGATAATAAGGATCCAGAATGTGTGTAGTCAAAAGAGAGTGTTTATTTAGAGAAAAGTGTAGAATAGTTATAACGTAGACGTTAACGGAGTACCGTTTCGAACACGCGTTTGTATGTGTAATTTAGATGCTTTAAGCATCGGTGCCGAAGACGAACTGACTTCTCGATTTTGCTCTATGTCCTGTCTCGTCGTGTTCGGTCCGGAGTTTTCTCTAGTTTAGTTCTGATTGGGTAAAATAGATGTTGGTGGTGGAAAGGTAAAGAGTTTTAATTGGACAGAGGGTGTGACATAAGGACCTTTGGCTAAGGAGTAGGAAACTGTCAAGGAGCCGATTTCTGATGGTCAATGACGTGATTTATAAGTGCCGTCCGTCCGTCGCTTGTTGGGTCTGTCACAAGTGGGTCCCATCTGTAGCGTCTGGTTTCTAGTAAAATTCCTAATTTTGCTTTACCTTTATAGGCTTAATCCGCTAGAACGGCGTTGAGGCACATCGAACCTCTGGAATTGCGGTTCATTATAAAATATAAAATAAATCGTTGGGTCTGGCAAAAGTGCAAGCCCTAGAATCAAATTATGTTATAAACTCGCTCTCCGGGACGGAACAGTTGTAATTGTGTTGTTAGTTGTAGTCGTAAGAGTTTAGTTGATATATATCTATATTCGTAGTCTTTACCGTCACCGCACATTGTATATTATTTTATGTTTAATAAATAGTTTTATACATATTTAACAACCACCACTACTTCTACAATATAATAACGTATAAGAATATTATTGATAAATGTTACAATATTATCTATTGGTTTCTAAGTAGATAATTAATCTTATAGATGCAGCAGTGCAAATAAAGGCACGTTTACCCGGTCTTTCAGTCTTCCCATGTTTTAATCTCACGCTGCATAAAATTCATTTCAACTCTCTTCTCCAAACTTCTACCCTCCGCTATGTGTCTGAAAACCTCATCATCTTAAACCCACATTTTCCTCTCCATAAAATAACCGATTCTCCTGCTTCATTATAAATTCCCATCGCACTCGTTACTATGCCACGTCAAAACATTCTACTTCCTATTAAAATCGTCCATCCAGTCGGCTAATCCGGCGGCCCGACATGCAATATTCGGATTATCGCGAAGTTTTCACAAACACGGCAGCTTATTAATACCGTTGGAACTTTGGCGAATTAAGGCGTAGCGTTTAACGAGAGGCAAACATTCGGCAAGACAGTTAACAAGTTGGAACAGTTTCTTACTTACAATTAATATCCAAAATAATCTCGGAAGTTAGAGGAGCCACTAGATGCGTGTTGCTCGCCTGGCAAATTAGCTTAGCTTTGAGGAACTTCCTGGTGACGTTCGAGATATCGAGGCGATTTATCGTGATGTCCCCGTGCTCCAGTGTATACGTGTCGTCCATTTGCCCGTCGAAATGCCACGTGACCTTCGGCGGCGGGGAGCCCCCGATTACCTCGCACAATAAGGACAACTGGCTACCCTCGTTGGACTGCAGTGTCTTGGCCAAACTTCTCCCGACACCGGTGTAAATCACCGGCTTGTTTGGTGGTACTGTCGTAAGGGTGGATTTATGTGAGTCGTATAGCGTCGCTATTTTCCCCTTCTTCTTCCGCGTTTTTATTTTTTCATTTTCGTTTTTGCGGGAATTTCTTTGCAGTGATTTTGTAATTTTTAGTGGAATTTGCAAGGTTTGTTGGAAGGAAGGTCTGTGTTATATGGGGGTGAGAATTTATTAATTTTCTTTTTCTTTAATTTGGATTTTGAAGATTGCTGTAAGTAATTCGTCTGTGTTATATGGGTGTGATAATTTATTAATTTCTTAATATAAATTATCAATTTCTTTATGAATTTCTATTTAGTGATTTCGTTATCTTTAGTGGAATTTGCAAGGTTTGTTGGAAGGAAGGTCTGTGTTATTTGGGGGTGATAATTTATTAATTTTCTTTCTCCTCAATTTGAATGTCAAATATTGCTCTAAGTAATTTGTCTGTATTATATGGGGATGATAATTTGTTAATTTTCTTTTTCTTTAATTTGGATTTTGAAGATTGCTGTAAGTAATTCGTCTGTGTTATATGGGTGTGATAATTTATTAATTTCTTAATATAAATTATCAATTTCTTTATGAATTTCTATTTAGTGATTTCGTTATCTTTAGTGGAATTTGCAAGGTTTGTTGGAAGGAAGGTCTGTGTTATATGGGGATGATAATTTATTAATTTTCTTTTTCCTTAATTTGAATGTTAAATATTGCTCTAAGTAATTCCTATGTGTTATATGGGGGTGATAATTTATTAATTTTGTTTTTCTTTAATTTCAGTGTTGAAGATTGCTCTAAGTAATTCGTCTGTCTTATATGGGGGTGATAATTTATTAATTTTCTTTTTCTTTAATTTCAATGTTGAATATTGCTCTAAGTAATTGGTCTGTGTTATATGGGGATGACAATTTCATAACTTTCTTTTTCTTTAATTTGGATGTTGAAGATTGAAGTAATATTCTGCTTAATTTTTGGGGTTCTACTATGTTTTTTGTTAGTGTCTGTATTTTTTTCTTTCTTTTAATTTCATTACTTGGGAGCGGTGTAAGTATTATTATATTTAACTTCCGGTTGTGTTATATAGGGTGTTGAATATGTTTAATAATAATTATTGCAATCTCCTACTGTGATAATTTTCTAATTTCTAATTTTCCTTTTCTTTTTCTTTCTCTTTTCAATTTGAGTACTTAGGATCAGAGTAACTAATATTCTATTTAATTTTCAATTTCAATAAATTTGTATTTTAAGCCATCGAATTAATTTCTGAAGTTCCTAAGTATTTTTATTATTCCCTGTGAATTATAATTCAGCAGAAATATTTTAGGAATTACGAAATATGATATCACAGAAATATATTGAAAAATAAATAAATCCGCTTTATTTGCGAATCCTCCTACTCTATATTTTACACAAAATTTTTAAATATTAAAATTAGATTAAATTCCATCGCAAATGTGAACAGAAAGAACTCCAAAAATTTCTCTGGACTTCTCCAATTCTCGTAATATCTCTATACGAAAAAATTTCCTGTACTATTAAGCATTATGAAATTCAGATAAACGAACACTGCATGAATTCGAAATCAATGAAGAAAGAAGTAAAAATAAAGAGAAACGACTTTGGTTCCTGCAGTTTTTCATAATCCCGTTCATCGGCTTTCGTCATTAAATGCAATCTCGTTCCAGAAACAGAAGCCGTGAAATCCAGCACACCTCGTATTAGCAAGATGAATGTAATTAAACGCCATAAATGATTCCGCCGCCACGGAGCAGTACTAAATTACAGGCAAATGGCTTTTGTTTAAGCACACGTTGCGCGCCAGCGTGATAAAACTGTTAGAGGTGACACTCCGTGAAACGAAGACGCATGTTACTTAGGGGAAAAGATAAAAGGGCAAAGAAAATATTGAAAAAAAATTATAAAAGGAGGAACGAGCACTAACGAACAATTCTTTATCTCCGGAACAAGGTCGCAACAAGACCGACACAATGGCACCTGTTGAGCTCGTGCTCTGTCCAATTAATTAATTCAAAATCGTGTTAGCGTTGCTGGCCAAAAGTAACAAGAAACTCATAATACGTGATAAGTTACAGTTACAACACGTTCCTCTTCTTACGGCTAACTAAAAATGATCTACTGCTCTCTGCCTTTGTAATACCCCTGCACCCTGTTTTATCCTCTCATTTGTACGCCCCTGTCGTGATTAGAAACATTTGATTCACGAAAATTGCCACTTGGATTTTATTATTATAATATTTTGCAATATTTATAGAAATTAATATAGGTAATATTTATAAAATATAATATTTTATAATAAAAATAAAATAGAATATTGATATAATTAATATAAGTAATATTCATAATATTTGCACTCTGCCAATAATTATAATTTGATATCACAATTACGTCTAATATATTACACACGTTTATAATTTATATTGTACACTTGTGACCGTTTGGAAAATGACAAACGAAAAAGAAATATTTTCCTTGATGGAAAATTTGAATTTCGTAAATTCCGTTTCTGGTATTTTATGGGAGACCATGTCGTGTGTAACGTAGTGGTGTGTATTTTATTATGGGAACAGAAATTTCATTTTATTTCTTGTTACCGAATAGAATTCAAGCTTTTTGATATTTTTATACCCCGCACTGACAGTTTTGATACGAAGTTATGTATTTTGTATTTGTTTGTTCTCGAATTTTGTCTTTCACTTCGCCGTGACTTATCGTTACAGTTTGCACTCGTTTCTTTCGCGCCACGCTATATTTCGAAGTATTCCGTTTCGCATTAGTCGTAAATTATTTTTCGAACAGTGTAACGATGTTTGAGGACAATTGTTGGAGTAATAATAGTACTTCTGTACCTAACAGCATTGGTTAGGGAATGTATAGAGGGTAGAGTGAGAGAGGTTAGCGGTAGGTTAGGTTAGGTTAGGTTCTCGCTCGTAAGAGGAAGTGCATTGTTGTAAGAAGTGTATTATAGAGAACCAGAGATTAGTTTTTCATTGTTTAAGTTATTCTCAGTTTTTCCTCTTTTAATAAATAGTTTTGTTTCACATTAACAAGTTGTGTTGCATTTATTTTACGGTGTGTTTTATTTTTCTCTAAGAAACCTAACCTCAAACAACAATCGCATTCGACGTTACCTATTAACCAACAAGTGTAACGCAAACATAAATTCATCAAAATCTTTTCTATTTGCAAGTAGGAATCGATCATTGATTTCACAGTTTGAGACTACATTCGCCATTTTAATTTATAAGCTTTCTTCTCGAAACGTCCTCTATTTCAGATTTCTATTTCTATTTGAGATTTTTGAAAAATTATTGCGAAGGGCCATTAAGACCTTGCGTTTTAAAATTAGCAAGGTTTATTTGTACAATCTTTGACTACACTTGTTGCAATTTTTGTTAAGAAATTTGAAAAATTGCAGGTGTTATATGTCATTGTTTTAAGGAGCTTTTAAAAATCTATTATTGACAGTGTCCATAATACAGACTCATCCTGTTACCAGAAATAAGAAGCTCAACAGGATGCCTTTTAAGTACTAGTACAACTATGACTGGTACTAAGAATTACAAATCTATACCTCGATACTATCACACAGAAGTATAATACAATAATATACGTCACGTGCAGGAGATATAAAATAAAAATTTACGAATTGTTAAAGGTAAATATCCCATGATCACAATCGCAATCTACAATTACTTTGTCACGAGAGGTACAAAGAAACTAGGTACTCTGACACTCCTCCAATACCCAGATTACCAAGCCTTCGTTTGCAGGTGTGGAAACTAAACCTCATCAAAGAACGGAAAACGACAGGGGGTATAAAAATAAAGGCAGCGAAATTAAAAACGACAACAACCATCACACAAAAGTATAATACAATAATATACGTCACGTGCAGGAGATATAAAATAAAAATTTCTGAATTGTTAGGGGTAAATATTCCATGATCACAATCGCAATCTACAATTACTTTGTCACGAGAGGTACAAAGAAACTAGGTACTCTGACACTCTTCCAATACCCAGATTACCAAGCCTTCGTTTGCAGGTGTGGAAACTAAACCTCATCAAAGAACGGAAAACGAGAGGGGGGTATAAAAATAAAGGCAGCGAAATTAAAAGCGACGACAACGTCGAAATACCGTCGAGTTTCGGAACGAGAAAGCAATTAATCGCGATTGATCATCAGGAAGATAGAGAGGGACAGGG